AGAATTCTACTGAACAAAAACTTGAAAATAACAAGAAAAAGAAAGTACAAAGAGAAAGTAAAGAAATCAGTTGAAAAGGATGCAGGAAGCTTCCTTACCCGGATAACGTGCATCCACATGTGGGTCTACAAGTAATTATTACTCCAAAAATCGCGAATTTCTACAGTAACCGCTACGGTGTTTCTATATGTGTCTACTACGGTATCAGCAAAATATGCATACCGTATTGATCCAACGGGATTTTCTTCGGTTGAATCGGGCGACCGCTCTGATCTACGGGAATGGGACGACCCTGACGTCGGGGATCTTGAAGTCGTGGATCGCGTGGATCGTGGAACTGTGCTGCTCGTGGATCCCGAGGATCAAATGGTGGTTGCTGTCTATTCCGAGGATCTCGGGGGTCGAAAGGTTCGAAACGCTGAGGAGCGGACGGTTGAAATTGCTGAAATCGCATTGAGAAACTATAAATTACTAGAAACTTCTGGAAAAATCGCGAAGCGGAAAAAATGCTCTGAGTTGAGAAAAAATCAATTTAAAAAACCCTAAACTTACTCTTGGATCGACTTGTTCACGTCTTCTGCGAGGTAACTCCTCCACCGGCGGTGGTGGACGCTCTTTAATCCGAAGATAATCGTAGATTTCCACAGGTCGTGCACTTTCTGGTGCTTTAGGCTTCTGTGGCTCGACTCTTTCAACAGATGGAGCCTAAAAATAGTTCATATTTTTTTAAAAATCCATAGAAATTTCTGCATCTCCAAGCAGAATAACATAGATGGTAGGTTAGTCTTACCAAAACAGCTTCTAAAATCTGCTCGGATGGTGTCTGTTGGACAAAGACGCGTCGCTCCTGGAAATGCACAGACTTTAATACGTCTAAGACATGAGAATGTTTTCAAACATGTGTTCCCGGAAAGATCTGACATTGCATGACTTTTAAAGCTATTAACAGTGGCAGTTCCCAAAGTAAAGACATTGATTGTGCGAAGAGAAAAGCTGCAAAGTGTCTTTTTTTCTACAAGTGCGTTACATCCACTTTCCAGAGAGAAAGCAAAGCAAGAAGAATCGAGAAGCATGAGAGTTTAAGGGGCTGAGTCTAGTTCAGCATATTTCATTTGAAAGATTGAAATCATTTCAGATCAAGAAAACTATGGAAAATTTGCAAATGAGATCCAAGTGATGT